ACAGTTTAAGTAAATGAAACAAAAAAAGGAAAAATTTACCAAGCTTCTCATAAAGCAAGTTTAAATCTAAGAACAAAAATCGTGCCAAGACTGAGACCACAGTGTCGAAAACTGAGAAAAGAAAAGGGAGGGGGGCAAGAGAACTGAAGAAACGGTGTCTGCTGTGATGAAAGGAAAAGTCTGCAGCTTTAATGGCTTGGGAAGAGGGAAAGATAAGAACAGTGTTGGAATCGATAGAGAGAGAAGGAAAGAATTGCATGTAGTAGACTGAGAAGAGAAAGTCAGAAAGAAAGGGGGAATAGTGCTTCCCCTCTCCAGACAAGCTAGGGAAAGAGGAGTGGACTTCAAATTGATTGATTAGTTAATTCTTTTATTAAAAATCTGAGTTGAAATTAGAAACTCTGATATAGTAAGTCTGTGGTTGTATTTACCAGTGCGGCATAAGAAAGTGTTGTATAATTTTACTGTTAAAAACTTCATTTTTAAAGGAAATGCAACAGGACCATTGTTAATATCATAGGCTATTATGATCATAGTTCATATAAATGTATTAAATAATAAGATAACATTGCTTTCATTACATGTGTCTGTGCCTTTAAATATTCTCACAAACCTAAAATAATGCCAATTATTTGTTATCTTAAGATATGTACACGGAAATAATTTTAATGTATGTTCAATACTGAAAACCATACTTTTAACAAAAACTTCAGTGTTAGGATCACCTTTCCTCCTTCTCCCTTCCACCTAAGGAGGGGACTTTGTGTACATCATGTGTGTGGACTGAATGCCCATTAATTACATCAAACCTAATCTACCCTAATTTCACTAAGAAAATGTTTCTTCTTCTCACTAACCCTGTGAAGTAACTTCCAGGCTATTTACTACCAATCTGTTTATATTACCCTGTATAAGATATAAACATATCTTAAAGAACTGACTAAAATACCCTTGATAGAAAAAAAAAATATTAGAGTTTATATGATGAATACATATATTTTTAATTTCTTTTCCATAAACTTATTTGGCGTATTTCTTTTGGAAATTCCTAGCCTGGAGGGAACTCTGGGGGAGAACTACCTGGCAGGGCAGATACAGCTGCCCTGAGTCAAGTTTCATTCATATGGATTGTGGGTAAAAGAAAGAAAGAAGTGCTTTCTTTTTCCTTCCTAAACACAGCCTTAAAGTAAAAAAAATAATTTTAGTGTTTATTTTATACTGAAACCCATGTTGTTAAAATGAAAAGAGATGATGTGACAACCCAAGTAAACAGAACTGTATTTATGACGTAAAGTCTACCGTTGACTCTCAGCAAATCACTGTGGTGGTTGAGACTAATTATATTAGTTCCTGTGTACTATCATATTCACAGCCTGGGGGTATTCCTGCTCTCTATGTCCTGATCGAACTCAGTGTGAAAGTGGAGGGGGCTGTGGCAGAATTGAAAAGAAAACAAAGGGGGACCTTGGCCCAAACAGCACCCTTAGATTTCAAAATGCATAGAGATAAACCCTGGGGATTGGGAAGGAAGCATCTTTAACCCCTTGTTGAGAGAGTCCATTCCAGGAACTGCACACAACGGAGACTGCAGTCCGTACTACAAAGCGAAGATGGACACGTGCCTCCTGAATGAAAGAACCTCTCCCAAGTGACCATTGGACTACAGAAAGAACTACGGACAGTCTGGAATTAATCTTGAGAAGGAAAAGACTGGTGAATAAATAAAAATTCATTCCAAATTTCTAAGAAAGCATCCCCCCTGCTGTACAAAGGATTCTAAATGCCTCCTCCATATACTTTACAAATAACCCATTATATACCTTGACATCCAAACAGAATTCCTCTCGAATCAGGGGCAATCTTTAAAATAATAGAGAACCCATATTCATCTGCCCCACTGTTATAAAATAAAAACCGATATTCCTGTACTTCATAGAATACCTAGAGGCATACCCTGTTTAAAACATCCCCATTTAAATCATAAAGGATGAATAGTTTGTCAATGTACTAAATGTAATAAAAAAATGATATTAACTATTAGTCCCAAGGACATGGGAAATGTCTAAAAAGAACTGAAAAAAAAACCAAAACAATAGAACACTCTACTATAAAGTTTGCATGGAAAAAGGCAAAACAAACCCTTAAATCAATACACCTATAAAATTATTGGTGGAAGCACTTTATAAAGTGTCACCTAAGGAAAAAAATTTTATTCTACCCTTTAAAATAAAAAGAACAAACAATAATGATTGAAGTACTTTGTCTATAATACTTTAGGAGTGTGTTCTTTTCCTTCAAAACATCTTAAACTTGGAGGCCATATAACCCCTGAAGAATACGACTGCTGCCGAGAAGATTACAAAATACCTCGCTACTCCATGCCACGGAGTAGGCAAGGAAGGCAGAGGCGTACTAAAGTGGGTACTTAAATATATGATAAACCTCTCAATAAACCTAAACTAAAAGCTAACACTCCGTAAAAAAAGGACAAAGCCAAACCAGAAAATTGAACCTTAATTATGTTTCCTCAAGGTCTCCACCAATAATTTAGAAGTGGACATTTCTATATTATTGTGTACTCAGTATACCAATAACAAAAACAAACACAAAAATAACTAATAATCATCAACCCTTTAAATAATAATCTGTGTTTAACTATTCACCTTGGTTAACTACTCTGTTGTCAACTATTACAAAACTTCTTTTTTTATTAATTTTAAGACTAACATTTAAACCATGTCATTTTAATAACATTATTACCATTATTAAAAAAAAAAAGGAAAAAAAGGGGGGGGATTGTAATAGAAGGGTTAACTTTGTTCATAAAATCTTATGTATATGAGGGAATAAGGAACTTTTGTTATAATTCAACAAGATAAGTTTCATAGACATCCTATTAATCAAGTAAGTGTCAGTAAAATTAATTACAGACATCTTGCTAAACAAACAAGTATCAGTATCGGTGGAATTTACAACTGATAAGAAGTACATCTTTCATCCCTGACGAATTCCAGATGACCACCTAACAATGAGCCATACACTCACAACCACAAAGCAGATTTACATTCAAAACCCGGGACTTGAAAATGTATAAAAAGGGACATTTGCTACATTTTGATGTGTGTCTCGGGCAGGGTACTTGCCCTCCAGACCACCCAGCGCTGTCTTTGCTTTATTATGGTTTGCTTAATAAATTTATCAATGTTTAATTGAAATTGAGTTGTCTAAATTCTTATACCAATTTATAACAAAGCCTGTCAGAGTTCAAGTACCTGGACACTGCTCTTAGTCATATTGGTTTAGTTTTAGGTAGTTCTGCGAGGAGCAGGGAGTTGGTCTCAGTGATCCTTATAGGCCCCTTCCACATCAAGATATTCTATGATGTGTAAACTTGTTCTAGACAAGTAAACCTTAGCAAACAACTGTTTGATCTTCTTCCCAGGGCTCATCGTTCTCCCTGGATGCTATCACTGCTCCACAGACTGTCGCCAACTGCTATGAGTGCAACTCACCTATTAGTTGTAACAGACTACTCAGTGTTTCTAAACACCCTCTTTTCTCCATCACAAATCTGAACTCAGCACTGGATTAATTCAGGTTTCTTTATTTAGGGATATAGAGAATAACAAACATCATACTGTACCAGAAAACCGTGGTGGGTTAACCTTGGTTGGCTTTCAGGTGCCCACCAGGACGCTCTCTAACTCCCTTGCCTGAGTAGAGCAGAGGAAGAAAATAAGAAAATAAGCTCGTGGGTTGAGGTAAGGACAGGGAGGTCATTTACCAACTATTTTCACAGGCTAAACAAGCAACAGTCTTAGATATACCAAGACCTTTTATATTATGAACGTTATTACAGTGTTAAATTTGTCAAAAAGATATTTGGGGCAAGAAACTTCTGTGAGTGTTGTGGATTGACCATGGCCAGCGCCCTGCCTTTTGCTCAGTCCCCTCTCCCAGGAAGGGGGAGAAAATAGAAGGAAGGCAAAAAGACTCAAGGATTGAGATAATGGCTGTTTAGTAGGGAAAGCAAAAGCTGCAGAGCAAGCAAAGCAAAACAATGAATTCATTCAGTACTTCCCATCACCAGGCAGGTGTTTAGCCACTTCCTGGGAAGCAGGGCCTCAGCATGCATAATGGTTGCTTGGGAAGACAAACATCATAACCACAAATGTTCCTTCCTTCTTCCTTCTTTCCTTTAGATTTTATTGTTGAGAATGATGTCATATGGTATGGAATATTCCTTTGGTCAGTTTGGGTCAACTGTCTTGGCTATGTTCTCTCCCAACCTCTTACCCATTCCCAGCCTACCCACTTGATGGTGGATGAGGGGGCGTGGAGAAGAGAGAGAGAGTGAAAGCACTGTTTTAGCCACAAATGCAAAGCAAAGTACCATATGGGCTGCTATGAAGAAAGTCAACTTCATAACTTCATCCTTGCCAGACCCAGTACAGTGAGCTTTGTCAGTCATTATGTTGCCCGAAACAAGAACACAAACCAACAGAGTGTCAGTTTATGCGGTGCTTTATTCAGGGCCCGGGAAACCTGAGGACTAACGTCCCAAGTCAGGATTCCAAAGACCCTCATGTCGACTACATCTTTTATACCTTTTAACAAACAAAGCTACGTGATTGGCTCACACATCAAAGCAAATATACCAGTTATACATAAACTTACATATATTATCCTGAGTACAATCAACCATTAACTCTCCCCCTCTAACACATTGTGTAACTGACTCCCACCACCAGACTACATCCTATTTCTAGTTACAAATCATCTTGTACCGGTTCTGCATGCTTGACTTAATCCTTTGACTATTGTTTCTTCTGATCAGCACATTCTTAACTCGTAAGTCCCAGGTGTTGCTGGCAGGGCCTCTTTCAGGCCTACCCTGCAAAGCAAACCTTTGACCAAACTACTACTAATGCTGTAATCACTGCAACAAGTCCCCCCTTTTGAGCATTCTTCAATCTTCAATTGCAAGGATGCTCAAATCTCTATATCCTCGTCTCTTGAATTGCTGGAGGGGAATCACTGTTCGGAAGAATAACTTCTTTCCGAGTCAATGTCATCATGATTCGACGAGTGTGTTGTCCTTCCTTTACAATTATTCCTAAAAGACACTTATATACAAGTAAAGCAACAAGAATTATTATGCCAAAGATCAAAGCATATTGAATGATAGACGACAGCCAACCTGACAGGTGAAGACCAAGAGAGCTGAATAATTCACCAATCCAATTATGTTCTGCTTCTTTTTGTAAATTGTGCACATTTCCCTCAATTTGTTCCAATTGAGAAATGTCATTTTCAATTTCATGTGTGACATTCGGGATGTGAATACAGCAATGCTCATCGCGTGCATGCAGGTAACCACAAACTCCATGTTCTTTTAACAGGATTAAATCTAATGCCATTCGGTTTTGTATAGTCATGCGTGTGGTAGCTTGTAATTGAACATTCACATCTCGGAAACCTTTTTTAGTAGCTGCAGCTAATCTTTCAGTCTGTCCCATTAATTTAAACAACATTTCTCTATTGCGATATGATGCTATAGGAGCGAACAAGGATTCTAACACCCATCCAAATTTTACTCCACTCGATGGCTCATGCCAATTTTCAGAATCTTGTTCTGTACCCGTATCTCTTTTTCGTCTTGGTTGCATTTCGACTGTAGTCAATTTTCCTGATTTCCAATACGGGCAAAGTGTAGGAACACCCAAAGTAATTTGTGTTGCTGATCCGTCTACGGGCATGTGAGTGGTCCATTGTCCATGTCCCATAACCCAGACTAAATTCCCTGGACTTCTCACCGTTGTAGTTAGGCAGTTAACATTACGTAAATTGTCATGGCCTTTTATAGAGTGATTGTATCCTCGACACTCACAGCCTAATTGTAAAAGCATGCGCACTGGAATTAAGCCTATGTCATTATTGGGAGTATCGCATGTATAGATTTGAGTGCAATTCCACAGTTCTGTGGGTGAGACTATTTCTCGCCATTGTTTGTGTTTGGGATGTAAGAAGGAATAATTTTGATTTTTGGTACCTACCCAGTGAATGCACCATTGTACTTCCCCCAGATAACTATAGGTTTCTAATAAACTTGGTCCCCAAATTGCTTGCCAGCCTTCCATGGTGGTGGAAATAGTGGTATTTTGGCACACTTCTTCTTGTTTTTCCCGAGGCATTGGGACTGGAACCTTTATGCAATCATCAGGTCCTAATACTGAGGGTGAGATGAGGCATGTCCTAGGAAATTCTCTCCCTTTTAGCCAACGGAAAAATCCGGGCATTTGTTCACATTGCGTCTTAGTTTTTATTTCCTTCATCCAACATCCATCAGTTAATTCTTTTCGCGTCACAGTAACAATTTTACAATCCCAACTAATATTAGTAAAGACTTTAGGGATCTCTGGGACTGGGATTATTCCCCATGGAATTGGATCTCCAGCTGCATGAGGCATCGGGAGGCATGCAGTAATTGTGGATACATTTTGAACTTTCCCAAAGTCCCTAATTAATCCAACCACCAAATTTTCTTGTGTAGATCCTTTGTGAGGAATTTGTGGGATCTGCGGAATTTGTGATGTGTGAATTTGTCGAGTCATTCGCTCAATTTTCACATAAACAGAAGTTATCCCTGTCTCCCACCAATCATCCCTACTAATCCAACAAATGTATTGTCCTTCATCCTGTCCTCTTTGTACTTGTTTAACTGTTAAAATAATTCCATTTGGCCTTTGTTCAATAAAATATTTAGTGCCACCCTGTAAATTGTGTCCTTTAAACCACCACCCATAATCCATATAATGCTGTTCTAGAATTTCACAGACTAATGTTATATCTTGTCCTTCCAGTATGGAATAAACTTCATATATGGGTCTAATTCCTTGTCCTTGAGATGGCACAGCTTTTACTGTTCTTATACCATAGTTTCCTTCCTTTGCACAAGAAACTATACATAAAAAGATGCCTTCTGTTTCTCCTATTTGTGGATCTGAAATGTTTAGCCAACCTTTCCCTTCTCTTTCATCAGACCACCAGCTAACTCCTTTGCTTTGTTTCTCCCATATTTTGGTTGTTACATTTAATTTCCACCAGTTCAGTACAATAGGTTCAGCGCATGGATCATCTAAAACAAAAGTACAGTTAATTCGTAAGGGAGGACCATTCCACATGTCAGATTGCATGTGAGGGGGTATTATTTGTACTTTAGTGTTCTTATTATGTGTGAAATTGAGTGTTTGTATTTTGGCATGTCCATAATCAAAACTCATTCGAATCCATACTATGCAGAAATATATACCATTAGCGTCAGAAGTTACATTGGGTACCTGCAAGACGGTATAGCCTTTTTGCTGTGTCACATTCCATACCGTAGTCACACCATCTGTCATAACTTGGTCCTGGTCCTGATCCATCCATCGCCACCCAGCATGTACTTCCTCTAATCCAGCTCCCTGGTCATCAGAAAAAGAACAAGTCAGATTGACATTCGTTCCTTCAGGTACTAGGAAAAAGGAATCAGAAACACTAACTTTAACAAATGCATCAATGGTACTTATTAATAACAGAAATATTATCACTCTTATTACAAGTCTTATTTGACTGGATCGGAACACCATTTTGGTCGGCGTGATGGATTCTACAGACCACTGCGCGGGGACCTTCTTGACCCTCGTGTAGTGAATCCAGTTGTAGATGCCTTCGACCTTGACTGCTGTATAAGTTGTCATCAACACCTGGCGGGGGCCGTCCCATGTTTCTCTCAGTGGTTCCACTGACCAATTCTTTATGTAGACCTGATCTCCTGGAGAAATGTCATGCACTGGATTCTCCAGAGGTAGGGGTCGATTGACTGTAGGGCTCCTCGGAGTGCTGCAAGGGTCTTATTTAGAGACAGAATATAGTTAAACACAGTTTGGTCTCCCACCACATGGGGATCACCCTGATATGTTGTTGCATGGTATGGTTTCCCATATAGAATCTCATATGGGCTCACTCCAATCCTTTCTCTGGGTTTAATTCTAATCCTCAACAGAGCAAGCGGCAAAGCTTGGGGCCACTGAATTTTTGCCTCTTGACAAATTTTCTTTAATTGATTTTTCAGAGTCTGGTTCATTCTTTCTACCTGCCCACTAGATTGTGGTCGCCATGGAGTGTGGAGATTCCACACTATCCCCAACACTGCGGCTAAATCCTGTACAACCCCTGCAATAAAATGTGGCCCTCTATCCGAGGATAATCCTAATGGTACTCCAAACCTCGGAATGATTTCTTTCAGCAGGGTTTTCACTACTTCTTTTGCCTGATTAGTTCTACATGGGAAGGCTTCTGGCCATCCTGAGAAAGTACACACATACACCAGTAAGTATTTGTATGTCTGAGCTTTTGGTAATTCTGAAAAATCTACTTGCCAATAATCTCCTGGAAGTTGTCCAATTTGAAGTTTTCCCATTTGTACTTGTTTTCTAACTATCGGGTTGTTTTTAATGCATGATGGACATGTTGCATTCACCCTTTTTGCTAGTGTCAACATCTGATTCGAGAAAATTTTATTTTTTAGAAATTTTACCATTGCTTCTGCACCCCAGTGGCACTTACCATGTTCGATTTCAAGTACTGTTTTCATTATTCTGATTGGTAGTATTACCTGTCCAGTAGGGGTAATATACCACCCTTTTACATTTTTCTTTGCTTCCATCATTTGGGCCAATTTTTCATCCTCTGGTGTATAATGGGGTTTCTCTTCCATGTGCACTGCTGCTGGGTTATCACGAGTTGGCAGCAAAGCCATTTGAGTCCATGTCTCTGTAGCTGCTCGTCGTGCTGCTTGATCTGCCAGTCTATTTCCTTGAGACTCGGGTTCCGAATTAGTCTGATGTCCTTTTACGTGCATTATTGCCACGGCTGATGGTCGATGTATAACCTCCAGGAGCTGCAGTACTTCTTCTCGATGCTTTATGGTTGAGCCTTGGGAAGTAAGTAATCCTCTCTCCTTCCACAATGCTCCGTGTACATGGACTACTCCAAAGGCATATTTAGAGTCAGTCCATATGTTCACCCTTCTTCCTTGACTCAGAATCAGGGCTCTTACCAGGGCCCAGATTTCAGCCTTTTGTGCAGATGTTCCTGGGGGTAGTGCTTTTGCTTCTATGATTTCCTGTAAGGTAACCACTGCATACCCCGCATACCTGGTTCCGTTCTCCACAAAGCTTGATCCATCTGTGAACAATTCCCAATCTGGGTTCCTCCAGCGGTTCGTCCTTCAGATCCTTCCGACTTGCATAGACATGCTCAATAGTCTCCATGCAGTCATGTTCCAGGATTCCCTCTTCCCGTGTGGACCTGAGAAACTCAGCTGGATTGAGATGGTTAGTGACTTTTAATTCAATGTCATCCTGTTCTCTGAGCAAGGCCTGGTATTGCAACATTCTGCTAGAGGAGAGCCAATGCCCCCCTTTCTGTTCCAGGACTGCAATAACCATATGTGGTACGTAAACTGTGATATGCCTTCCCAGTGTCAGTTTACGTGCTTCCTGAATTAGTATCACTGTTGCAGCCACCGCCCTGAGGCACCCAGGCCATCCCCCACTTACATTGTCCAATTGTTTTGAGAAGTACCCGACAGGCCTCTTCCAAGATCCCAGTCGTTGAGTGAGTACTCCCAAAGCCAATCGTTGTCTTTCACAGACATACAGTTGGAAATCTTTAGTCAAGTCGGGCAATCCCAGGGCAGGTGCTTCCCGCAAGGCTTTCTTCAGTTGATGGAACGCTTTTTCCTGTGCTGGTTTCCAGATTAACTGCGGCTCCTTTACTGCTTCGTACAGTGGTCTAGCAAGGAGTCCGAAGTCAGGAATCCATAGTCGACACCAGCCAATCATTCCTAGAAAAGACCTTAATTCTTGATTATTCCGTGGGACTGGGATAGCACAAATGGCTTGTACTCTGTTTGCCCCTAGCCGCCGGACGCCTTGAGAAATCTCACAACCTAAGTAGATAACCTTCTGTTTAACCAGTTGGGCCTTTTCCTTCGAGACCCGATAACCTGCTTGACCTAACATGTTTAACAGTTCAATGGTCAGCTTACAACACATCTTTCGTTCTTCAGTGCCCAGAAGAATGTCATCTACATGCTGCAGTACTATGTAAGAGAAAGGAGAGTCTTTTACCTGAGTTGTCTTCCAATGCTCGAGTTCTTTCGCTAATTGATTACCAAATATTGTAGGTGAGGATTTGAATCCTTGTGGCAGCCGCGTCCAAGTGAGTTGCCTTTTTCTTCCAGTGTCGGGGTCTTCCCACTCAAAAGCAAAGAGGTGCCAACTTTCCGGTGCCAATCAGATGCAGAAGAATACATCTTTCAGATCTATTACCGAAAACCACTGAAATCTCTCAGAAACAGATGTTAACAGGGTGTATGGATTTGCTACCACTGGGTGAATGTCTTTGGTTAAAAGATTGATTGCCCTTAAATCCTGTACCAACCTATATTTTCCATTTGGTTTCTTGACTGGAAAAATTGGTGTATTAAATTCTGATTCACACTCTTCTAATATTCCAAGAGCCACAAACTGTTCGATTAGAGGTGCTACCCCTTTTCTTGCTTCTAAACTGTCCCAGTTTAAATGAGACAAGGGTCTTTTGCTGAGGATGAATTAGGAGGAAAAGACCCAAACTTCTCTTTCCAAGCAATTATAAATCCAAAATTAAGAGGCTTCAATTGAAGGAAAACAAATTATGGAAAAGGGAAAAAATAACAGCCCTTTATTAAAAGGTTTGTGTGTATTAACAGGAACACGGAAAAAAAAAAACAAGTAAAATAACTAAGTAATACTCCTATACCCACCAATAATCCCCTTCATGAACAAAACCAATAAACCGGCAAAAGGAAAATAGTTCAATTTCTTGCACCCTTTGGTGCAGTTCCAACCACAGTAAGCAGAGGGCGCCGTCGGGTCACTGGAGATGCAAAATTTGTAATGTCCTGTACCATTCACCAGGTGGCGCTGTTGGGTCACTGAAGGTGTAAAAAACTTGTAGTGTCCTATTGTAGTCACCAGGTGGCGCTGTTGGATCACTGGAGGAGTAGAACTTGTAATGTCCAGTGCCCGCCACCAGGTGGCGCTGTTGGATCCTTGGCTGCCACCAGGTGGGAGGGGAAGGGGGGAACAACAGCAATAAAACAGAAAGTTCTCCCAATGGAAGAAAACTCACAAACTTCAGCTGATTAGGGTCCGTTGTAAGCAGGGCTTGCAGTCAGCCAGAGGTGAGCCAAGAGCAGCAGCCAGAAACTCCCCTCCAACAGGAAAAAAAAAACAAAGGAGCCCGGCAGTGTCTGCAGCCCGAAGCAGCCTCTCACCCCGGCAGGAGAGAGAGAGAGCTTCTCCTCCCCCCCAGCCTCGACCCCCTTCCAGTCACACACCAGCCAACTCCCCCCTTCGTTGTCAAGGAAACAAATCTCCACCATTAAGGGCTCCAGCCGATTCTTTTGTTCAACTAAATGGCCCATCACAGAGCACACACACACACACACACACACACACGGCAGGAGGAAAGGAAAGAAAAATTCCTTGCTAAAAAATACGAACTATGACATAAACTAATCGGGTATTGCCTTACTCGTACTGGCTGTGCTCCCTCCTTGAGCTCTATTACTACTGGGGTTGCTGCTTTGGACAATCCTGGGGTCCCAGTCTCCCATACCCAAGGGACGACTGCATGCTCTATTTCTTGAGGAATTGCTTCTGTTTCTATTTCATTTACAGCAAATATCTGTGCTACATTTTCTTCCGGGATTTCTAATTTGACTCTACCCTTTTCAAACACAATCGTGGCTTGTAAAGAGGACAACAAATCTCTCCCCAGTAAACATTCTGGACTATTAGGCATGTAAAGAAACTGATGATCCAATTGCTTTCCTCTAAATTTAATATCCAGTGGCCTCAAGAATGCCCTTTCCTCTGTTTGACCCGATACACCCACAACACGAATAGTTGAATTACTTAGAGGACCCATTAATCTATTCATTGCCGAAAAACTGGCTCCTGTATCTACACGGAATTCCATAGGTTCTCCTTCTATTTCCAGGACAACCTTTAAATCCCGATCTAGTCAGCTTTGATTTTGGTAATTCTGCAACATAAATGCTTGAGCGACACCTTGTGGCGTCCCAGTATTCGCACCCTGCATGTTCCCGACAAACGGATTCATTCCTATTCCTGTATTCATAGGACATTCATTTTTCCAGTGTCCTGGACTCTTGCACAATGCACACTGATTCAATCCTAACTTTCCGCGTCCACCCTGGGGTCCAAATCCTCCTTGACTACCGAAACCTCTGCCAATTCCTCTACCCCTGTTTCCATGTCCTTTTCCCCTATTTCCCCTGTAATTATAGTTTCCTCCTGCCGCCTGTAAAATTGCCAACATACTCGCTTGCTGCTTCTTTGTATTTTCTTTCTCTCTATTATTATACACTTTCCAAGCTACTTCTAGCAGTTTCTCTAAATTCCGCGTTTCCTCACCTTCTAACTTTTGCAACTTCTTTCTAATATCTTCCTGTGACTGTCCCATAAAGATCAGGGCCAATTGTAACTTCCCTGATTCTGCTTCCACATCTAAATCTGTGTATTTTCGGGCCGTTTCTTTTAATCTTTCCAAGAAGGCAGAGGGGGATTCTCCCTTATCCTGCCGTACCGAATACAACTTAGACCAGTTTAAAGTTTTTGGGATTCCACTTCGTATCCCTTCTACTAACAACTCCTGATAAACTTTCAACCTATGATAATCACCTGCCGCGTTCGGATTCCACTCCGGGTCTTCCCGCGGTACCAAATCATTTACCGTCCCTTGTCCTGGCTGAGTGCGAATCTTTTCCCTGGCTCTTTCAACCATTACCCGCAATACCATCTCCTTTTCCGTAGAATCTAAAATCGTATCCAACAAAACTTGCAAGTCATTCCAATCTGGATTCTGAGTCTTTATAACCATCTTAACGACACGCGCCACACGCTCCGGATTTTCCCTATACGTCCCTGCCGACTGCTTCCATATCAACAGATCATTCGGTGAAAAGGGAACCTTAACCATAACACGCGCCCCACCTGCTCCGACCGCTTCGCGCAAAGGAGCCATCAATCTTGGAGGTGAGGGAGAGACAGTTCTCCCTTCTCCTCCGTACTTTCGTTCCCGACTTCGCCCACGCTCTTTCCTGCCTCTCCGGGTTCGCTCGGCTAATGGGGTCCTATCTAAACGCCTTCCTTCTTCCTCATCCGAGGATGATTCCAACGGAGGTACAGGTGACCCATCTGACCTACGGGAAGGGGCTGCGCTCATCGGGGGTGCAGTAGGGGTAAGGCTCGGGGATACCAACAAAGAAAGATCTTCCTCTGATTCGGGAAACTGTACCTTCCGTTCCTTACAACCCACACATTCATCATTCGATTCTTTTAACACCAATATTCCACATTCCTCTTGCCACTTAGGTTTACGCTTCAAATAATAAAACAAGTCCAAATACAGTATTTCTTCCCACTTATCATTATCTTTCAAATATTGCATTAGAGGTGTCATTATTTCTACAGTTACAGTACCGTTTCTCGGCCACTGCATTCCCTCAGTATCATATTGAGGCCACACATTATTACAATAATCAATCAGTTGTGTCTTACTTAACTCTTGTCCAAAATTCCCTTCTTTCCAATGCTTTATTATACACCCAAGCGGAGAATCATTAGGGATAGCAGTTTCAGAACAAGACAATGCTCTAAAGGTTTTAAAAGGCATCATACCCACTGCAACACAGCACTCACACAGACAGCAAATACCACAGCGATTACGTAATCTGTTTCCACAATTATCTTGCCGTTTTTCACTATTCACGGCAAGTGCTGGCTCAGCGCAGCTTTCGCCGCGTCTTACGACCAGCGCCTAGGCTTCCCCCAAAAATACCTCTCTCAGCTCAACCCAGCGAGTATACACAGTCTCGTCTTATAGGCAAGCTTTAACCACTAGTGAAAATAAAGCACCTTAGGGCTTACCTCGGGCGGTTGTCCGTCGGGTGCGGAGTCGGGCACGGGTCGATATCTCCTCCAGAAATCACCTGGCGCCAGCACGGAGTGGATCAGCTCGTGTACCGCCCCAGCGACCCCCGGAGTCCTGCCGCTGGTCGCCAGAATACTGTTGCCCGAAACAGGAACACAAACCAACAGAGTGTCAGTTTATGCAGTGCTTTATTCAGGGCCCGGGAAACCTGAGGACTAACGTCCCAAGTCAGGATTCCAAAGACCCTCATGTCGACTACATCTTTTATACCTTTAACAAACAAAGCTACGTGATTGGCTCACACATCAAAGCAAATATACCAGTTATACATAAACTTACATATATTATCCTGAGTACAATCAACCGTTAACTCTCCCCCTCTAACACATTGTGTAACTGACTCCCACCACCAGACTACATCCTATTTCTAGTTACAAATCATCTTGTACCGGTTCTGCATGCTTGACTTAATCCTTTGACTATTGTTTCTTCTGATCAGCACATTCTTAACTCGTAAGTCCCAGGTGTTGCTGGCAGGGCCTCTTTCAGACCTACCCTGCAAAGCAAACCTTTGACCAAACTACTACTAATGCTGTAATCACTGCAACAATTATGTAATCATGACCGCAGCTCTAAATATTGTTGTTGGCTCTGCTTGTCTCACAATTGTGCAGTTAACTTGGGAACTTGCCTCAAATGCAGGCTGTTGTGTAGGCTGGGGCGAGAGGCACTTAGACCTCTGGCATGTTCCAACTTGTTTGTGCCCCACCCCCTATCTCCCCCTTTTGGCATTCCCCCCGCCGCCCGATTCCAAACATGTTAGAACTTGTTCAACAGACTTTTAAAAGGGGGTGTGTGTGTGTCTCTAAACCTCCTTTTACATTTACTTCTGTTTAGTTACTTTCTATTCACATTTAAACTCTATCCCAGCCAAAACCAGTACACGTATAACAACACTGTTATATATCTTGTATAGTAAGAGCTAATCAAATTGCATTTTGTTTTGAAGCACTTCTCACAAATTCTTTTTAGAGATTATTCTTTCTAGCACCAAATGTAATTTTCAAATGTTATCTCTTAGGTACAGGTTAGTTGAAAAAGGGAATTTGCTATGAGTCGTTTAGAAAGGCATAGTTAAAGAACAATTAATATGTTACCATTAGGAGCTTCTTTCAAAAAAAAACCCCAAAAAACCCAACCCCTGAAAAAAACAGCTGCAAACAAAACCTCCTGCCCCCAACAGCCTCTCCACCACAGCTATTGATAGTTACCCTGATGTTCCTCATGCTTGTGAATGATTTGTGCTATGTTTTGTAGAGGGATAAAGAAATGAAATTTACATGTTTTCTTTAAAATAATAATGAAAATAAATTGATGGCTGAATAAAGGTAGAGAAGGGACCTAAATAAGTGTGTGAGACAGTGTGGTGAGCTCAAGACTTACCTGTTGTCACATGAAACGGGAGGGGGGATATGCCCGACACTTAGGGAGAGATTTTCTCAACCCACAGAGATTTATTTGTCTGTTAGTGCCCCAGGGAAAACAAAACCACATATGTCCAACCTAGTCTGTCAGGTATACCTTAAGGGAACTCTTCACAAGACAGATTCACAAGATCGGGGTAATTCGGTTGCCCTTATTGGAGGTTGCCACGCAACAGCGTAAGGGAGAACCCCTCAGTGGATCTTCCCATGTGTTGTTCTGCTGGCGGCAAACTGTCAGTACCTGTGGTGGGTTGATCTTGGCTGGATGCCAGGTGCCCACCCACCCTTCCCAACCGGACAGGGGAGAGAGTAAGGTAGAAAAACAACTCGTGGGTTGGGACAAGGCAGTTTATTTAAAGCAAAAGAAAAGCGGAAGCTTGAGCATGCAAAAGTGAAGCGAAGCAAAAGATAGCACGGTTTATTCTCCACTTCCCATCAACAACAATGGTCAGCCACTTCCAAGAAGCAGGGCTTCAGCACGTGTAGCGGTTCCTCAGCAGGCATTATTTTTCCACCTTTATATATTGCTGTGGTTTAATCCCAGCCAGCAACTAAGGGCAACACACTAAGGATGCAGGATCTACAGGGTTTTTGTTTTCTTTTTCCAATGGTTGATCATGGTAACTGCTGAAAACATATACCTATTTTCTAATGCAAATTGGCATTGGATTCAAGTCCTAACTCCTGTTTTACCTTTATCTGCTAGCTAGAGCCTTTTAATACTTGTTTTCACTTTGTGAAGGTGCTGACACACCACAGTTGACCTCCCAGTTGTCTTTTTTTCTGATAACTAAAGAGATGGTTCTCTCTGTCTGAGTCATTTTTGAGTTCCTGAATTTTATTTTCAACTTTTTTCCTTCTGTACTTTTGTTTATTTTGTTGCCTAAAATCGAAGAAATAATTCTCTACACAGTGTTAGTATAGAAAGGTAAAAACAGTTCTTTAATAATACCTCTTAGGTGCACAAAGATGGCATATGCACACCCCCCAGGTTTTACAAATTTAGAGTATCATCTAACTGTTACCTCATGGGGATACACCCAGTCCAAAAAAATTGTCCATCCCCCAGGTCCTCCCACAGGCACGCCTCCCCGAATTGGGTTGGTGATCCCGAGACCCCATACCTTCCTCCCACGAGAGTCTTCGTCAACTATCTCTGTCCTTCTTGGACCATTTTCAAGGATTCTGGGCCTTCTCTGATAGTTTTGACTCCCTCATATCAAGCAATGTGCCTGTTGTGTCTTATTCTTAGAACATTTTATACAGATAAAATGTTCTTTACCTTGCTACAATCTTTGTCCATCGGAATTCTTGACAAGAAATATTAAACAACATTTCAGGAATCTAATACAAAGGTACTTAGCTTAAGTGCTACTAAAAGTGCTAAAAGAGTTATACTAAAATCTGTATAACCTAGATTTTAAGGTATCAATTCTTTTTAAGCATGGATTCCAGAGTTGTATATGGTATGACTGGTTCTGTCTGCACCGTTGAGATATT